CTTAATTAATTTGTTGTGATGAAAAACATGTTCAATAATAACAAGTTGTATGTAAAATGTTTGCCAATTGCTATGTAAATTTGAGATTATTAGTTGTGAAAATAAATGTTTAGAATTTCTTCTTAAAATGTGAATATAATGTTGATGGAATGTGTAGAATTTAATTGTTGGATTTGCGAATTTAAAGTATGTAAAATGCCATGATTTAGAAATATGAGAATACGATATTGTGTGGAAATTTATGTTTTAAACATGCTTAAATGATGGAATGATATGTATGAAATTTCTATATTATCATGGCATTGAAGAAATTGCATAATTCATGCATTGAAATTGGGAAAGTAAAGGGAAAAGTTTATTTTTTTAAAAAAAAACAAATGAAATTGTTTTTGGGAAAAGTTTTTGAAAAGTCTTTACGAAAACTGGACGCCTAGGAGGTGTCTAGTGGTCCGTGGTGCAAGTGTGGTCTAGAGGGAACTAGGGAGAGACCCTAGCGTGGTTGAGAGAATTAGGCCGGATACGACTCCTTGGAGATGCCTTGTGGTCATGGATGGTTAGCCAATCCTCCTTTTGTGATGCATTGGAGGTGCCTTGGGTCGGATTACACTAACGGTTTGGAAGGTGAAACAGTAGTGTTTCGAAAATGGGGAGCGACATTGCATGGCATGGCCTTTCATTGACATACATTGCATACTTGGTGATTGGATGACTTGCGTATGTATCTGTTGATATTACCGTTGTTTGCTTATTTTCCTCAAAATATGATCTCGTTCTCTCGTATCCTATTCATTGTATGGATTCACGGGGTCTTAAGAGATATGTCTTAGGTGCTTCCTACCGAGCTTTATGCTCACCCTATCAGTTTAACATTTTTCAAGTAACGGGAAGGAAGGGGTGAATGACGTTCCTCCATAGGTTTAAATGGGTTAATAGACTATTTTATCATCTTTTATATTTGTAATCTCATTTGTTTTGTATAAGCCTTAGGATGGCACGTATATTATGCATTGACCTTAGAATTTACTATAGTGCCCTTAGACGACTTCGGGTTCGGGTAAGGACCCAGTTAGCGATTTGGACTCTCGGGTTCGAGTCGTTACAGGTCAACCTAAACGTAACACGAGCTGGCAATTGAAGCCCGACCGAACCTGATTTTTATATAAATTTATAAATATAAAAAATATATATTATATATATTTCAAAATTATAACCACTTACACCAACTACAAAGTAGGTGTTTATTTGTGCATGTATATAGAAAATGCTACGATATAATGGAAATTGTTTGAGGTTAGTGGATTAGTATGAATTTACATTTTTGTCCTTAGAGTTAAACCATTTGTTTAATAAAAAAATCTAAAAAATATTGTGTATTGTTAATTTATGATTTCGCCCCTTCTCGAAAAACATACTCTAGTTGGGACTCCTATCCTTTTCTTTCCTATTTACACGTATGTACATACTGTGTGTATCTCTCTCCCTATATGTTGAATTCAAACAATTCTGTTAGCCTTAAAAATTTAGGATGTGATTAGATACAAAAATTTGTAGATAGGTATATGTATTTGTTATATATATATATATATATAACAAATACATATACCTATATATATGAAATTTCATATATATATCTATATATACACACACATGTAAATGCACTTATTTGCCGTTTTTGATTTTGAGTATATGTTATTTGCCACTTCTAGTGATATGAGTTTTCAAGTTTGGGCCAATCCCACCTTAGACTCTGGTTTGCAACACTTTTGCTCGCGAATCTTGTAGGCCTTCTGGTGTCTTTCTCGGAGGTTGCACAAAACAATGCACAAAACTTTGAATTTGGAAACTAGTGTCAAGTGGGTACCATAATTTAAATTTATAAACCACTTAACACCTATACTATGTAGTATGAGTGAGAAGGGATCGTCCCAAGGGATTGAGTTGTCGTACTAGCTTAAGAATCAAAATTAGGGTTAGTAGGTCGAGTGATCAAAATAGTAGTTGGTTGGTTGAATTAAACTAGATGTAAATTAAACTAAAGTAAGTAATAATGCAATAGAGAGGACAAAAGATAGAGAGAGATCTTGGGTTTTAGAGATCACCACTAAGTATAGCTTTTCTACACCTTTAATGAATGATTAATGAGGGGAAGAACATATATTGCAATAAAGTGTGTGTGTGTGGTTGTTTCAACAAGCATGGATGACAAATTAAGCATATATTGTCTAAACAACATGGTGAAAAACACAACATATCAAATTAAACCATTAATCCTTTCTTTAAGCCCACAATCCAAACACATCACAAGGTTAGAGATACATGTTACTTGCTTTTCATAAGTATGGAACATTAACAACAAGCATGGATTGTCCTCCCATTTAACAACTACACTACAACTAAGCTAATGATATGAAATTAAACTAATTAAACTAAGGGAGAGGCACAATCCATCAAGAAATGAGTATGAACCATCAAATAAATCACAAGAACATGACATTAAACACTAAGTCTTGACAATCTCTAGATCTATAGCATCAACACACATAAACATACATCAATAACACAAGAAATAGAGACAAACACATGAACATCTATTCTAGCATACATAGACATATGGATAGAATGAAATGATCAATTGGAAGCATTAAATCACATAAATCATTGAAGAAACAAGATCTATATATATAAAAGTGTCAAGACATGAATTACAATACAAATCCCCTCAAAAATACATAAATCAAGAAATAGAAAGCATGCTTAGGGCTAACTCTAGCCCCAAGAGGATGTCTAGTCACTCATGGATGATGTCCTCCAACCCTCAAGGGCAAGCTCCATGGAAGAAATTTGCTCCTTGGTTGATGAAGAGTCTCCAATGGTGTCTCTAGCCTCCTCCTCTTCTTTTCTTCCTCACTAAGAGTAGCCTCTCTCTAAGAATCTCTAAGAATGCTAATCATCCTCCTCAAAATGAGCTGGGGTTGTGCATCAAATATTCCCCAATGATTGGATAAGGACAGCTTTCAATGAGCTGGAAATTTAACTTTTTCGCACTGGAGGAAGTTCGATCGATCGAACCTTGGACTTGGATCGATCGAACATGGCTGAGATCTATCGAACTGAAGTTGGATCGATCCTCAATGGCGGCGCCTTTTTGGATAAAAACAAATCTGAGATATTTTGAAGATATTTTTGAGAAAAGGACAAAAGTGGTTGATAGGGTGATACAACTGGATAAGATCAATCATTTGGATAATGACAAGAATATTCGATCGATCGAAGAAGGAAGTTGGATCGATCAAACTTTTGAGATCTTTGAACAGGGACAAACATGACTCAGATTTATCTTGAAGTGTTGAGATCGATGAAAGTTGGATCGATCGAACTTTTCTTGAAATCGATCGAAGTTGCTGAAATTCTACCATTTGGTTCATTTTACTCTACTTTGCTCATTTCTTTGATTAATCCCAGAATTGCTTCAATTATACTCTTATTTGGCTGAGTTAGCTTATTTTGGGGATAAGTACCTGAAAATGAAAATAACACGAAATCAATACAAAACGGTAAAATAAAGTAGATAAAGGTTCTAGAATACCTAAGCTTAAGGGGTTTAAATACGCACTTTGCAGCGCTCATCACCTTCAATGATATATACATTTCTAGTAACATGCTCTTCACCTTGATGAATAAAATAGATAGAGAAGTTCTTGAAGTAGAGAGAGAGCAATGAGAGAGACAGAGAGGGGGACAATGGCGATATTGATATTCAAGTGGTTATGGCAATGATAATAAGTGGGTCAGCTGATCCAAATGGGAGAAGGGTACTTTTGTCCGGGAAATACGTAATTTCAGTTGACATGAATGGATTATTTGGTCTTCTTATAACAAGAAGGTTAGTTTTGTCAAAAAATAATTTATCCCAAGCTAATTTTACGCTCAACTCACAAATGGAGCTAGTGTGTAAGATCACAAAGGTAGTTGACTAATATATCATACCACCTTTTATTTGTATGCATGAGATGAAAACTTGAGGGGTACTTTAGATAATTTCAAGGGCGGATCCAAGGGTGGGCGAAGCTGGACTTTAGCCCACCCCAAAATTTTTTTTTACCATACTACTTTAAACCTAGTCCCAAAAAAAAAAAAAAAAAAAAAAAAAAAAAAAAAAAAAAAACCAGTAATGGTAATCTAGTCCAAAATTAGCTCATCCCATTCAGAAAGGTTGGATTCGCCCTTAAATAATTTGCTCTATTTATAAAAAATTTTAATTTGTTTTATATTAATATGAAATCACTTTTTAACTTTTTCATTCATATCCACTGTGACAATAATGTTAATTCAGCTGTCATAATTATTCATATAGTGTGAAAGTTATTCAATTTCCTTTTGTCATGTTTGAACCAATTTAGCTGTCTATCAAAGGCAACTGGGTCAAAATACTCAAAGATGGTGACATGAAACTGCAAGTCTCGATTAAAATTGGTATATGGACCAAAACGCCCACAAATCGTGACATGGAACTGCAAGTCTTGATTAAAATTGGTGTATGGATCAAAATACCAAAAGGATTGTGTGATATGAAACTACGAGTATTGATTAAAATTGGTGTACTTAGTTTGGAAACTACCTTGTATACTCGTTTAACCTTGCAGCCAGGTGTCTGAAAAGGCACGTAATTGGATGAGTTCTTATCGGCATAGAAACCATAACACAATGTCATTCCATAAATTAGTCTGAGAAACCAATTTCTTATTTGCTTGGTGCTCTGATTTTTCTAGGGCTAAGATTTTATTTAGCTTCTATAGCATGTGTTATCAAATTATCATGTTGATTGCTATGCCTTTTTCTTTTCTAAACTTTCTCTATTTTTTATCATCATAATGAAATTCCTTCAACTTTGAATGTAACCTTGGTTTTTAAGTGAACCAAGTAAAATCTGTGTGTTCTTGTTGTATGTTTTTAATCTAATTTTTTTTTACTTAATTTGGCAACACGGCAACACCAACACCTAATCTTTGCAACTCTCAACTTCCAATGGTATCTACAAAGAGTACAGAATGTTAGAACAAAGAGTTCAGGCATTGAAACTTGGAATTTTTCTCTCTACTTCACTAACTACAAAAGTAAAACATGAAACAAGAGAAAAAAATAAAAGAGAAGCTTCATGCTTTCAACGCCTCTAAGGCTGGAACTTGATTTGCCTCAGCATCTGGTCCTGCTGACCCCTTGAAGAGCAAGATTGCAAGGCTACCTATGCAAAAATAGATGAAACAGCCATAGCAGTGTGTCACAAATGACCCGAAATCGGTCCCTACTATGCATTGCCAACCCACTCCATATGTCCTATCAAATTCCTGCATCAAACACCAAACCCCAAATCAATTAATAAGCACAAAAATCAGCCTATTTTTTTAATAAACAAAATTATTTAATACTTCTTTCAATTCCGTGATTAAATATGAAGAGCTATCCACCCTATACTTAGTTATTCACCTTCTTTATGAAGCGGGCTATTTCAGTGGCCTCAGTGACATCAAAAGAGTCCAGTGCTTTCGCAGCTAAATCAAGCGCATCTTGTTGCATGGTTTGAAGCATGTCAGTCTCGCCGATGACTGCCTTGCCTTCAAGCATGGTGAGGATGTTAGAAAAACGTGGTGGTGGTGGTGGTGGTGGTGGTGGTGGTGGAGAGAAGGAAAAGAGCAAATACAAGTAGATTAGTTAGTGATGGTCCTTGTGGACATGAAGATGGAGTGGTGAGGGGATTATATATGAGTTGGGGAATAAAGGGTCCCCTGGGGCTAGTTTGTCAATAACATAAGTGCATGTGGATCAATTGTTTGTGGTTGTGGTGGTGATCACAAGTTCACAAATGATGCTTTGGCATTATACTAGTTGGGCAACTAATGTGTATGGATAAGCCAAGTGGGTTCAAAATGTGACACTCTTGTGGTGGAACTGTGGAACAGATCACATGGAAGTGCAGATGGCAAGCACAGTTTTACTAGAATTTTCTGGTCGTGGTTTATCTTGTACAGGTGTCCTCATTTGGGTCGCCAATCATATTATGCCATGTGTTAGTCGGTGAGTGAGATGTCAAACTTTGTCATTTTCTCCGAATACGGTAATTATTGAGATAAACACTCTTTATCTTGTGTAGGTGTCCATTTCATTTGGGTCATCAATCATATTATGTTATGTGTCGGTCGGTGAGATGTCAAATTTATCATTTTATCGAAATGTGATAATCATTTAGATAAACACTTTAAATAGAGATAATGCTTGTTCGAATCCATGCAAAGAATATATGGAATGAAAAAAAAATTTAATTCAAAATTTTGAATTATTTTTCTCTAATTCAACTGATTACAATTTCAATTTCAATTTCAATTTCAAGACTACAATTCCATATAATTTGAAAGCATACAATATTTATTAGTGACTACGAGATTTTATTAGAAGCTAATCACATTATTTATGGAATCACGCAAAAAATTAAAATTAAAAAATTCGGTCATTTTAGAGTTGCTTATGTTGTTGGTTGTTGAACTCAATTTTACTAAAGGCCCAGACTTGGTTGTTTCTAGTTGGTTCAGGGAGTGTATAAGCGGCCAATGTTGCAATACCTTTTGGCCATTTTTGCCATCTGAAGCAAGAGTGACTGTAAGACCTCATAATATTTTTCAATTTTAAAAAAAAATTAATGAAAAAGTGTTTTCTTGGTTCATAATAAAGAACCAACTGTATTTGGCATTTTGCAAAATCATAGCATATAAGCTACCGTCTCTTATGAGGAAGAAATGAGTCAAAATGATTAGATTCAACCCAAATGAATTTATTATAGTATAATCTATTAATCATTGTTGCACCCTCTTTGGCCTTTTTTAGGTCACTGCATACAAGTTTATAACTTGTGAGTTGTGACCATAAATCATTAATTTGACTTGTTCTTGCTTCTCTCGTCTGTGTCGTCTCCCAAGTTGGGACTCCCAAATCTCAAAGGAAGAGAGTTGCAAGTGATCGATAATATTTTTAAAATTATTTGATTGATAAAAAATTGAAAATTATTTTTTAAAAATAACCATTTTTCAAAGTTATTGAAAATTCTTTTTAAATAATTGAACTAAACCAAATAAGTCGAAAATCTTTACTTAAACTTGGTAAGGGAAAATCTCAAACAATTGTTATGTCCTCAGTGGACTCGGTTCTAGAATTTCGCATTTAGAGTTTTGAATGTTTTAGCTGTAGGAGAAAGAGAGAGGGTTTGGAGTGAAAATTTGGCAGTGTTTCTTTAACAAATAATTTTTGAAAAATTAAGGTAAAGTATTTGATAAAATTAAAAATTTTAATTACTAAAGATTTTAAGTGGTATTAAAAAAATAAAAATAATAATTAAATTTTTTAAAATTTTTAGTGTTCAACATTGAGTTATAAGTATACATCACTTCAAATTTTATTCCATTTTAAGTGGTATTTATCATTTTCAATAATACTTAAATTGCTTTACTAAATACAGTTAATTAAATAAGTGCTTAATCCATTTAGAATTAAAGGCAGAATTGAATAGTCAAACAGGACGTGTAGAAAAGAAAACAAACCGGTTGAATTGCATTATTTTCGGATCCAATCCTCTGTTTATCGCAGTATACTCCTTTTAGTGTAACTATTTTTTCTTAGATCGGAAATAAATTTAAGAATAAATATAAATTGCCTAAATAACAAAGACATTATCTCTAGTTTCAAATATTACATTAATTTCATCTTTGGTTTAGGTATGAATGACACTAACTTCTCCTATCATAAAATTTGACACTCAATATTCACTTAAAACTTGATACTACACTTAGAAAGTTTGAAATAGTTATTTTGTCTATAAGATACAAATATTTTACATTAAAATAATAACAATGCAATGAATATAATAATCATTTAACACCTTAAGATCAAATTTAACATTGATGGGCAGTGTTATATTTAAAACTATAGGTAATGTCCTTGCTATTTAGGCAGTCCAGGAAAGGCAGATATAATTATCCCTAAATTTAACAAAGTTAACCACGTTACATTATCTAAAAGGACAATATTTAAGTAAGGGTGTATCACAATTACCAAATAAAAAAATGGTGAAATAGGTGCTTACCAATATATATATATATAAATTTAACAAAGTTAACCACGTTGCATTATCTAAAAGGACAATATTTAAGTAACGGTGTATCTCAATTACCAAATAAAAAATAGTGAAATAGGCGCTTACCAATATATATATATATATAACCAAAGTCTTCTAGCCTAGTTGATAAGAAGCTTATGTTGGCTCTTGGAGGGCATGGGTTTGAGACTCGGCACCAACCCCCTAACATTTTACCCTTCAATATATATATATATATATATATAATTTTATATTTAAGTGAAAAAAAAATCCTACACTATCCTATAGTGCAAATACGTGGTATAAAGCACTCTTATACTTTTTAATTTGATGCAATGTTCCTATAAAAACACTATAATACCCTTCTGTTAGTAGAATGAAATAATATTTAAAAGGACAAATTGCATGAAACAAGAAACTCTCCAAAAGAAAAAAGTTGACATAAAACCACCCTAAATATCTAATTTGTTGCAAAGTAATGTTATAATGACTAAACTATCCCTCAATATAAATTTAATAAAATGGTACCCCTTTAATATTAAATCAAATTTAATATTAATACAAATAATTCATTTGGGATAGTGTTGTTAAAAAATTATGATTTTTTTTTTTTTTTAATGGTGATTCTATAAGAAAATGAAAATATCTTGAAACAATTTTCAAAATTTTCTTAATTTTTTTATATTTTAAAAAGAAAACCTAAAATAAAAATCATTTTAAAGTAAACCTAAATTTTCTCAAATTTATATTAAGAGGAATTAAAAAATTATAATTTGATACTTGTGTTATTTAATATTATATAATATAATAGTGTATTATGTATAACAGATAACATATTTGATATGATTAAATAATATAATTTATCTAATTTATGACTCAATTAATTTATTATAAAGGTCCGGATAATGATGTTGGCATAATAATGCATATTTAATAAATAAATGACATAATCTATATTATAGATAAAAATTAATATGAAAAAAACAAGATGGATGGTTATTGTGATGATAAACATAATTAACAATTTATAATTAGTTAGTATATAAAATAAATTTTAGTAAATAATATACACAATACATTAAAAGAATATAAAATTTCATAAATAATATAACACGTTTTATTAAAAAAGATAATAATGCATATAATTTTGGTACTGTTAACTAATATTATATAATTTATTATATGGACATAAATATATTAAACTTATTATACATACTACACTACACTATGATATTATATAATATTAATTAAGTTGTGTTATTTATTTATCATATTTAGTTCTAAAATATCATATATATATATTTTTTACTTGCTCATAGAAAAAATATTATATAATATTGTCCTAGAAAAATGGAGTAGCAATGTTCTCTTTGAGGGGGTTGAGAATTAGGTGTATGGAAAATGGGTAGGGAGGGGTTTTAATATATATAATGTGGGGTAAAATGGGAAATTAATGGTTTGTAGTATTTCAGTTTCCCAAAAGCAGGCATTTTTTTTACAGGTTTGTGATAAAATTGAAGAAGAAGAACCATATGGATACAAGGTTTTGTATTGATCACGTGTTTGTTTTTACACATTGATGCATTCTTAGATTCACAAACACTTTGCTTCCAGATAGATTCAAATATAGAATTATTGACCTTTCATTTTGAAAAGTAAAAAAATACCATAATTTCATTATGTGATTTAATTTTTGTAATTTTTATGCATTTAAAATATCAAGTTCTTTACTTGACCCAATACTAAATTTGTTTGATAACATCGGAGGGTGGCATTTATGCAATTAAATATATGTATATTTTTCCCAACTCAAACTATATTGAGGAAAAACCTGTTGTTCTATTTTCATGCTCATTAATAAATCAAGAATTCGTAATTTGTGATGGTTATCAAGAACTGTGGTTACTTACCTGGAAAACTTATTATTGACTTTTTATTTTAATCAATCCAACACATGCTCAAGTCCGATCTAATATGTAAAGGCTACAGAGTATTAATATGAAAAATGATCAAATTAATTTGATTTCCTTTTTTCTTCATGTGACAATTAGAACATTTGAAATGTACTGACAATAATTTGATTTCCTTTTTTCTTCATGTGATAATTAGAACATTTGTAATGTACTGACGATACAAGAATGCAAACCCTTTACCAACCGAGGTTCCAGTGAGGTTGAGATCATTGGATTGCTGCCTACCTCGTACCCCACGCGTAGAGTTTGGTTTCCCATGAAGCGCGTGAAAAGCGAAAAGGACATATACAAGATAAATAATATAATAATAATAAAATAAATCCAAATTACGAATTTCTTAACGACTTGATGCAACCTTCACATCAAAAAAAAAAAAAAAAAAAAAAAAAAAAAAAAAAAATGAAAGAAAAAATATTATTGACTTGACGAAGATTTTGAGTCTTTGAGCAATGTGAAGGAAGGTATCAGTAACTTTCTGAGCCCCTTCTTTTGTTCATCTAAAACCTCATTATATAAAGGAATATATACATATACACACACACACACACAAACTTATATCAAGAAGCAAAAGGAGGAGAGCAAGAAGAAGCAGGAGGAAGAAAAACACACAGGTAATTTCACTATCTTCGCCTTGTGAATATTCGTACACTATAATTGGGTATGCATTCTTGTATTGTCAGTACATTTCAAAGAAATGCTTGAAAAACTAGATTTATTTCATCTTAATTTAGTTACTCTGATCTGTCATTGTGTTAGCCAGTGGTCGTGGTGTATCAATTCTGGGTAATCTGACTCATAATTATCTTGTGTTACTTAAATTACTATAAAGGGATTAAAATGATAATATAGAAATCTAATACTATTCAAGTGCCTGAGGGGAACAGTGACAGTGAATATCTCATGATCAAGCAGTGATGCAACTACTGAAATTTTGCACTGCTACTGATTTGCTTCTGAGATCAAAATATTACTTCGATTTTTTTGCAAAGCAAACAGCACTTTATTTGCAAAGTGAATGCGGGACATCCACAAAGCACTATCTTGTTTCTTAACCTACCTTATTTTGTTACTAATTTACTGATATGTTGCAAATTGGTTTTGGTCCATTGGAGAAACAACAGCATTTTCAATTAAAAGAAAGACACAAAGAAAAAAATTCCCAGTTTCGTTTAGGGTGATTTTGAAGTTCATTTGGGGGTTATGGGGTTATTGAATTGTGCCCCATTGAGATTCTTAGATAATATTTGGAGGTGCAATTTCATTGTCCGGGTTGGAGTAATTCAAGTAAAAATAGATTGTCATTTTGATTTTCATTAGTTCCTTTCACAGCCAACCCCTTCATATGGAATTAAGGCAAGGATGACGATGATAATTAGTTCCTTCCATTTATTTGTACTGTTCTTTGGATTGAACAAAACTTTTGCAATTTGCACTACATAATTGACAATGAATTTTTTGCTCTAATTTAAACTGCAGCATTTTACTCCTATTTGTTTATCCAATCATGATTTTCCTTTTAGTTATACATATTTTAGATATTGGGTCCTTCATTTAGACTGCTGATACTTTGTTGCAATTTGTCTCTCTCAAACTAATCAGGAGCAGCTGCACGGAGCAAATTAAGAAAGATATCGAAAAATTAGTAGTAAAATGAAATTTACCATTCCACACGGGGTCAAGAGGGTGTGGGATAAATGGAATCTCCGTGGTGCTGTTCTTGTCAGTCTCTTCTTCCAGGTAGTGTTAATTTTCTCTGCAACATCACGGAAACGAACTGGACACAGAATTGTAACCATGATGATCTGGTCGGCCTATTTGCTTGCCGATTGGGTTGCGGCCTTTGCTGTTGGACTCATCTCCAATGGGCAAGGGGATGACTGTGAGAAGGTTAGGGTAAACGATGAGCTTGCAGCATTTTGGGCTCCATTCCTTTTGCTACACCTTGGTGGCCCCGATACCATCGCTGCTTTCTCTCTCGAAGATAATGAACTGTGGATTCGACATTTGCTTGGGCTTGTCATCCAGGTTGTTGCAGTTCTTTATGTCTTCTCACAATCGTTCCCTAACCAATTCTGGATTCCAACAGTCCTCCTGATGATTGCTGGAACTATTAAGTATGCTGAGCGGACCCGTGCTCTATATCTAGCATGCTTGGGTAATTTCAAGGACAACATGCTTCCAAAACCAGATGCTGGACCAAACTATGCTCAGCTCATGGAGGAATACTCATCAAAGGAAGCTGCCCAAGTTCCTGTTGAAATTGAAATAGTAAAGGAACCTGAAAAAGGTTTCAGAACTCCTACACAGGAAGAGGAAGGAATAACTGCAGATCCAGAACCAAAACTCGAAGATATTCAGGTAGTGAATCGTGGGCACGACTTCTTTAAAATTTTTAAGGGACTTATTGTTGACCTCATGTTTAGCTTCCAGGAGCGCAATGACAGTCGAAAATTCTTCTTTCAAAGGCATTATAAAGATGCTTTTAAAGTGATGGAAGTTGAGCTCAATTTGATGTATGATGTGCTCTACACCAAGATGGCAGTGGTGCATCGTAAGATCGGATACTTTTTCCGCCTCATATGTTCTACTCTGATAGCGGCATCCTTCATACAATTTGCATCCATTCATAAAGACCACCAAATCCATAGAATTGATGTTGCTGTTACCTACACTTTGCTAATCGGTGCTATTGGCTTGGACTTACTGGCTCTCTTCAAGCTCATTTTCTCTGACTGGACTATAGTGAAACTCAACAATTCCAAGGCCAAATCTACTGTTTCTTCCATCCGTGATAGAGTTTCATTTGACAATAGATGGCGGTGGTCTAAATCTGTATCACAGCACAGCTTGATAAGATACTGTCTGAATGAACGGTTCAAGTGGCTGGACAAAGTAACTGATTTTTTCGGGCTCAAGGAATTTTTTGATGAAATGCAATACAAGGAAACCAAACCTGTTGAGGAGAATCTAAAGGAATTTATTTTCTCTGAGTTGAGGGCAAAGGCTCTGAGAGCAAAGGATTCAAAAACTGCAAAGGATATATTTTCAGCGAGAGGTGATTGGGTTCTCTCTTAAAACAGTTGCTACCACGCCTCAGTTGTATCAAGCGTGAGCGAGGAGGAGGTTGAATATGATGAAAGCCTTTTGTTGTGGCATATTGCTACTGACCTGTGCTATTTCAATGACAATAATCAATCCAATGATGATCCAAATCGTGAATATTGTATGCGCTTGTCAGAATATATGTTGTATCTTCTAGTCATGCGGCCTACAATGATGTCAGCGGTGGCAGGTATTGGGCAAATCAGGTTCCAGGACACCTGTGAGGAAGCCAGGAAGTTTTTTCACAGGGGGCAATCAAAATCATCATGGCAGAAATTGTTGAATTGTTTTAAAAGAAAACAGTCGGACTCAAATGAAGAACGAAAAGCACCCCGTGTGAATCTACTTTCTGTAAATACAGTTGTCAAACCAGTTGAAGTGAAGGGGGATAGAAGCAAATCACTGTTGTTTGACGCATGTATGCTCGCGAAAGATCTGAACAAAATTCTTCCGACGAAGAGGTGGATGATAATGAGCAAAGTGTGGGTGGAATTGTTGTCCTATGCTGCAAGTCATTGCAGAGCAAACACCCATGCTCAGCAGCTCAGCAAAGGTGGGGAGCTTATTACTTTCGTTTGGTTGCTGATGGCCCATTTTGGCTTGGGAGAACAGTTCAGGATAGAAGCTGGACATGCACGAGCCAAACTAATTGTGGGCAAGTAGAAGGTATAAAAAGCAGTTAACGATGCCTATTTCCGTTGACTATGTAATGGATGTAGTTTTCTCTAATCTTTGCAGGTGTTTTGAGTTGGAAAGCTGTGTTTTAGCGTGGAAAGAATTTATTTCCTCTGTATGTTGAAGTTTGTTTTGGTTTTCGTGTCGAATTTTTATGTTGTAATGATTGTGGAGTGAAGTTTCACATACTGATAATATGATATTATTCTGGGAAAAAAAAAACTACTGGTGTGAGCATAAATGCAAACAGCGCAAACACAAATATAGATAACTTAGGGACATGAGCTTTAGCCATTTATGCAGATTCTTAGTTTCTATTCAAATGTTCTATGGGATATTGATATACTGAATTTAATTAGGACTTTGTTTGAGAAAACTTTGGCTTGAGAGTTGAGAATGGAATAAGTCTTGACAGGGTGGTGAAACTGATTCAAGAAAGAGCCGATGCTCTTTGAATGCTGAAATCATTGTTGATTTTTGCTTAGATTCTTCACTCTTTATGCTATAACAATTACCAATGTCTTCCAAATGGATTTTTTCTTTTTCTTTTTGGCCTAAGTAATGTAAATTTTTGTGTGTATATATATATATATTTAAGTAAGTTCAGTGCACAAGGCTCTCCATCATTACGGGATCCAATCTTACCCTCAAATAGAGGAACTGTTTTTGATTTTGAACCCGTGACCTCTAAATTACAATAGAGCAACTTTACAGCTGCCCTCACAAGAGTTATACTCAGGATAAACATTGAAAACCCCACCTCCACCATTCTATAAATTAAAGACCAAAAGAAACTCAATAACAAAAACAAAGGTAGAGCTTCTATACTCAGTCCCATACAGTACAAAGGACTTTCCCTCTCACATGCTTGTAACAGTAACAACTATCAAAATAACCGCCTCAGAGAGACTCAACTAAAACCAACCTTCCTCTTAAGCGTGCCAAACTCAGACTCTCTCTAAACAACCACTATCCATTCTCTCAGAAATCATAATTACGGACTGAAAACGAACAAGAAGTGAAATAGAGGACGATGACGAATCCGAGCTCAAGGCCTTTCAGAGTCTCTTGGCAGCTGAAGCAGACTTCATGGCCTCTGAGAACTACCACCAGAACCCCACTGCGGTCCGTCGGAGAAAGCAAGCGTTGGACTTCATACTCAAGCAAGTGAGAAAAACACATTCTTGAGCCAGAAACTCCTGATTCTTTGACTTTATTATAATGGTGATTGTTTCTTGTTCTCTAAAATTTGAGCATGTTGTGTGTTAATTGTTGCAGTATAGAGAAAACCCATTTAATCCCGATGATCCCTTCATCCCACTTCTCGCTCTGACTTACTTCGATCGCTTCTTCTCAAGGCTACTAATGGAGGTTAAACGAGAACCATCTCATGCGTTTCTTAGTTTCAATCTTGTGGTATTGAAAATTTCTTGCAGAATCTTGATCATTTTGTGAATTGCAGGACATACCATTGCAAGTAACAATGTTAATTGCAATCAGCTGTCTTTCACTCGCTTGGAAAATGAGGACAGTTAGATTCAACTTGCGAGAATTGCTGGTATAAAATTTGCACTCTTAGATTCATTCTTGTATTCTTTCCTTCTTCATGTGTAAATTTCAACATGTTCAATGTGTTCATGCATGTGCAGGATAGCCTCAATTTCCGCAATCTTCCGGTGGTGGAAGTAAAGAAGATGGAGCTTCGGATTTTCTCCACACTGGACTGGCGAATGCGTTCTACCACGGCCTTTTGCTTCATTGATTTCTTCGTTTCTTTGTTAAACATTGACAATGACTCTAAACAAGATCTCAAAAGAAGGGTTCTAAATAACGTTGTGAAGAAAATGTACACTGGTAACCAGATTTTTCTTTTCTTTTTTTCAAATTTTTTTTTGGGTACTTAGATGGTGTTGTATCAATTGATTATTAACAAAATCTTTGCTTTAAAGTTATCGAATTTACGAAATTCAGGCCATCCATAGTGGCAGCTTCGGCTCTTATAGCTGAATCCACATCATCTGGACCACGCATTGACCTCAGACAGGCTTTTGCTCCATATGTTAACATGGTAATTAATGAAAAACAAAAGTTCAGTTTAATTCAATATTATTTAGCTTAGTTTATAACTCGCATCCCTAATATGACACCGTCCCATACCGGTTCATATATATCCATATAAGTAGGACTTAACCTTTTTATGGTTAATCCAACTCATTCCAAATTAGGTAGGATTTAGTACTTGAGCTAATCCATACCTAGTATGTCACCGTCCCATACCGATACATACAATCCTCCAATTAACATAGTTGACAAAACAATATTAAATAGTCATCAACCACATTCCACAGTATGCACAAGATAAGTTAATCTATATACATAAATATTAGGCATTCAATACAGCCTAAAATCCAACTCCAATAATGTAAATTGCTACAATAAATTCAAGCATTCACATTCACCATTATAATCCATGAATTGATACAGTTAACAAAAATTTAAGTATCAATTACACCTAAGCTTAGCACAGTAATTCCAGTTAATTCACTTTACTTCTAATACCCTGGAAATATGATTTATTATATATATTTAAATCATATTTAACAACCTTGTTAAGCTCCAATATATAAAACTAGCAAATCCTCCAACATAGCATAGTTACTAAAACAACACTATATAATTAACTGCCATCCTCCAAAATATGCACCAATATGAATTCATACATACATATCAACATTAGGTATTCACTTCAGAACCTAAATATCATGATCCAACAATTTAAATAGCTAAAATAGGTTATAGCATTTAAATTCCACATATAATCCATAAACTGATACCATTTAACAACCATTGAGTACCAATTGATTCCAACCCAATCATAGTTGAAATTACAGTTAATCCACTACATTTATAACATGGTGGACAATATGATTAAATATAATTAATTCATATACCAACAATTTGCTAAGTTTCGGTGATTAAATTCTTAGCCAAACAGTACAACGTATAGCCGTTTCTTTGAGCTGTTCATTACTCCTTTCCCTAATCCATTATTGTACTAAGCATTTTCAATATTAATAGAAGTCCCTACCATTTAATTACACCTTACAATAGCCTTTAAACAGCTTCTGAAAACACTATACAGCCCAAACACGCACAAAAACCATACTGTATGAGATTTCTGGGCAAGAGCAGGCTCCAAAAATTTAGAGCCTGCTCCTTTTATGTTAGAGCCAGCTCCCTAACTTAGGGAGCCTGCTCTTTTTAGCATGGAGCCTGCTCTTTGTGTGAGGGAGCTGGCTCTCTCATTTTAAGAGCCTGCTCTCTCCCTTTTTAGAGCAGTTCGTCCGTTCCTGCCTCGTCTTCTCTAACTCTGGTGATTATCTGAGCCTCTGTAATGTTTTTAAATCCTTGTTCTAGGTTAAATCTTAGTCCTAGACAAATGTTAAACCACTGATATCCCCTCATAACATGTATTGAAACCAAGATCTGGAACAACGATTTCAGAATTTCAATTAGCAATTCAAAGCAACTCAAAACAGATTTATTCCTGAATTTTAAATATTGTTCTAAATACCTGTTCTAGAGTTTAATCTTAGACTCAGATCAATTTCAAGGCCGTCATTCGCACTACCAACCTCCGTTAAACAAAACTTAAAGGTAAATAACAAGAGGAACAAATAATAGAAAAACACAAGTTCATGCAAAACAGTTAATTCAACGAGATCAAATAAAATCATATATGCATAGAAGACATGTTATTATGTTTGTTTAAATCCATTTTAGCCTTTATTTAATCCCTGGATTCTAACTAGGCATGTACAGAACACGAATTAACGGGAAAGAGAAGAACAGAGACTTGCCTTGAGACTTTGGATTAAAATCTCTAACTATCGTCTCTATCAACTCCGGCAACGTCGGTTGTGTTAAACTACCTCTGCTGCTCCTAATTCAGTCCCGAACTCCTCCTTTAATCCCTCCTTTAATCTCTTAGTGTTCTCTCTGTATTTTGTCTCACAAAACACACTCGGTTGTTCCCTGTATTCCCTTTGTATCTTATGTACGTGAGTATGGTGAATAGGGTTTACAAAAACCCTTAACAGACGTATACTTATGTATTTATAGGCTTTATGTGAAACCCTAAATTCAAATCCTAAACCAACTACAAGTCGGCTCAAACTTAAGACACGATTTAATTTAAGCAAAACCCTAAGTAAATTCACGTAATTACTTTAGTCCATTTTAAAATAAAATCTAATTACATACACATGAGATAAAAAAAAATAATTAACCACATAACATAAAAATAAAACCATTTAATTTAACGAAAATAAAACACAAGTAAATAACAATAAAACAATAAATAATTCAAATAAAAATACTTAAATAATTAAACCAATTAAAATAATTCAATAAAATGACACATAATCAAATAAAATGCAATTAAATACAATAATTAAATTCCAGAATTGTCTTTTTAAAATTAGGGGTATTACAAATGGGTTATTACAGACCCACTACCTTTTCTTTTCTTCTTTCTTGGCCTGTTCTCTCTCTCCTGCTTGCTTCTCTTTTCTTTTTCATTTTTTTCTTCTACACAATTAAGCTTGATTAAGCTTTAACCACTTAGAATTTTTTGGTGCCGCTTGCGGCAAATCGGAAAGCACGGCGAGATCTACGCGTGGGTATAAATAATTCCTTGTTTGGCCAACTCTAGGGATTTCGAAATTAGGGCACAAAATTTGGGAATTTTCATAATTTTGGAGGTAGGGGTTCCTAATTCACTTTTTCTTGCTCCTTTGTGAATCATCTTACTTGATTTGTTGTCGAGCATGTTAAATTATGTTAGTTTTCCCTTAAAATGATCATATTGTTGTAATGAGATATGTGTTTATGTGTTTTAATTGGTGTTACATGAAATAACATGCTTATATGAATTTAATTGCATGTCTTACTTGCTTACCATGCTAAAATTTTGTTGAAGGAAGTATGCTATTTCTTTGGAACTTCTTGTGAAGCAAGTTAAGTGGTTAAATCTTAAAATTGGTGTATGATGATAAATGTTGATATGACATAAAAGGCATGAAGCATTTATGTACTTCATTGGGAAAGAGATGGGAACATGAATTTGAAAAATATAAATATATATATATATATACATATATTTTTGGGAAAGAATTTTGAAAAGGATTTTGTGAAAACCCGGCCGCCTAGGAGTTGCCTAGAGACCGCAACGTTAGTGTGATACCCCCTAACTTCGGAACACGGGTTGATCAGGTCCGCGCACAAAATCAGGGAATATCAGCCAATCAATAATAAATAAGCACAGAATACAAAAGGAATAAAAATTAAATAAATAAATAACGCTGAAAGGGAAATCTAAATTAATAATTAAATAATAAATCCTCTAATAAATTAATCACCAATAAATTCTCATTATAAGAATAAAACCTCCAAAGTACAACTTAGGAATCCATACAATGTGGACCCCTAATAAAAATCCCACCTAAAGACGAAATAAATAAATGTCTAACTCAGAAATAATAAATGATAGCGAAAACATAGTGGAGGTCCTACGTCTATGACACCGGAAGAGTGATGAAGTCTGGCCTCTACTCTGCACGAACTGACTCTACGTTTGGAATTGTCAAGGACCTGAAAAGATAACAATAAAGGTGGGTCAAAACTCACGAACAAGCCCTTTCTACTACATCCCAAACAGAGCCCTGATAAACGATCCATCCTAGTCCGACTCATGCAATAACTACGTAAGTAAATATACATAAGTATACACACTATAGATTTTCACTGGATTATAAGACAGCCTTACCCAGATAGTAGGTCTCATGCAAGCACACACAAGGTGGTCATGAGTACCTCTTCTACCAGGGCACACACATCCCTATATCCAGCTACTCATCTCACCTGGCAATATACGCCAACCCTAACCATCGATCCCGAGATCTCAAGCTCGTATCATGGTACCCAATTAAAATATATTTATATAAGTAACTATAGCCATATCATGACAATGGCACAATATAAAGTCATAACCATATCCTGACAATGGTATGACTACACGTATAGGTCTAGACTTAATAGCCAGCCCATATATGTATCAGCAAGCCATATCCTAACAATGGTGCTTCTGAGACCATATCCTGACAATGGTCCTACTATGTGAACTTATATCAAAGTATGTATAAGTTCATATACATATATAATCACATATATAATTATAATCATTCCATAATCTGTAACAATTGATATAGCAAAATAAAAAATTATAAATATCATACAAGAAACTTGCAATTCAAATAACTTCTTAACTACAAACCTATAAACATGATAATTAAACCTTACCTTCATCCGAAATTATTAACGTAACTTATTAAACCCACTTTAACAAATAAACCCACTTAAACAAAGTAACAATTTTTATAAAAGTATTAAAAATTTCATGCAACCAATAATGCAGCCTTGATTACTATTACTATTATTATTATTATATTTATTTATTTATTTTTATTTACCTTACCATGCAACTTATAGCTTAAAGCAAATAACCCACTCCTACAGTAATTTAATCAAATGCAATTAATGATTTAAATTGCAAAATCAATAAACCCCAGTCCTACAGTAATTTAATCAAATGCAATTAATGATTTAAATTGCAAAACCAATAAACCCAATCCTACAGTAATTAACCAAATACAATTAATGATTTAAATTGCAAACCAAACAAACCCACTTGCACCATCAATTGCAAGACAAATAGACTTGGAAAATAAATTTCAAAGATTAAATCAATTGCAAAGAATGAATCAATAAACCCACAGTAAAGGAAGAGGACGAAAAGCTGCTGATGGTCCGTACAAATTGGGTAGTTATTTTACTCAATTGCAATAATTTTGTATGAAATAAAAAAAAAAAAACCAGAAACTACAAAACTAAATTCATGTATATATATATATATACACACACACAATTATTCCTCTGTTAAGGTCCATCCTTAGCATAAATATAATCAAATTAATTTACAAACAATTCTCTAAAGTCGTTCTACAGATGAATCGAAACACAAAAGACAAAGAGAACGAGTAGAACAAAGACCTGCCTTAAAATTTTGGGTCAAAATCCTTAGCCTTTCCTCTCTAATTTCCCTTCTCTCTATTTCTTCCTCTCTCGTCGCGGCCCTCTGTTTCTTGCTTCTTCTTTTTTTTGTTCGTTTGCTATGCTTCTAATACCCAGGTAATGAACTATATATATAAATAATAAAATAACCTAAAGTGATTCCACACTACCCACCTACATCCAACCACACCATACTACACCCATATATGTTACAACTTTGAGCCAACCCACTTTTACCTTGTACAACCATTAATTGTTACAACATTATAAATAATAAAAATAAATAAAAACACAATTCAACTTCTAATTCAACAAACTATGCACTTATATTTTATCTAAACCACACACCAATGACACGTCCCACATTGAAATCTAATGATATAATATTTTAATAATTTAATAGTACAATTACACATGCAAACTTATAATAATAAATTAACATCATAATTTCCTTAAACTACCGTGCGCATATACTTTATCTATTTGCACACCTACATCCATATATATATATATGTATGTAAACACATTAATATAGTTTATATATATTTATTTATAATATGCTAAATATATCCACATATATATATATATGTATATAACACTTTAATATAGATATATATATATATATATACCTACCCATCCACACAATTTACTAAAAATAAATAAAAATAACCTTAATGAAAATTTACAATTAACTACAAAATTACTACAAAATAATTATATTTAAATAACACATAAATAAACACACCAACAACTCCAATTAGCCAAGTAAATAAAAAAATAATAAAAAAATACTAAATAATTAATATTGAAATGACAACCAAATAACAACCAAATAAAATCCTAAAACAAATGCACAAACAATTCAAGTAGTCACGTAACCAAATATAAATGAAATAAAGTAAATAAATAAAAACCTTGAAATTTAGGGGTATTACAGTTAGTGAGGCCTAGAGGGGACTAGGGAGATCGTCTTAGTGTGGTTGAGTTACCTGAGCCCCAAATGACGCCATAGAGTTGTCATGGGTCAGGGATAGTAGCCAATCCTCCTCTCGTGACGCCATGGAGTTGCCATAGGACGAGTTCGCTAACGGTTTGGAAATGATAATGGAAATGGTTTTGAAAAATGGGAAGTGACATTGCATAGCATGGTATATCATTGCATGGCATCTTCATTTGTGGTATCGGATTAATGATGTGGTATTGTAGTTATATTTTTTTTTCCCGGCATGGTATCATCCCAATTTCCTTATTCATATTCATTGTGTGGATTCACGGGGTCTCAAGAGGTATGCCTTAGG